AACCTCCCAAGTAACTAGAAATAGAGGCATGTACCAACATGCCTTGCTAATTTGTAAACATTTTTTGTAGAGCCGAGGTCTTGCTATGTTGCCCAGACTAGTCAAACTCCTGGCCTCAAACCACCCTACTGCTTTAGCCTCCCAAAACAGTGGAATTATAAGCATGAGCCAGGGTTAGAGACATGAGTCACCTCGCCTAGCCCCTCCATGACTTTTGATTTTGAACTAGTCAGAATGGCTGTTACTAAAAAATCAAAAAATAATAGATGCTGGAGAGGTTGAGGAGAAAAATGAACACTTAACGCTCTGTTGGTGGGAATATAAATCAATGCAACCATTGTAGAAAGCATTATGATGATTCCCCAAAGAGCTAAAAGCAGAATTACCATTCAACCCAACAATCCCATTACAGAGGATTATGAATCATTCTGTCATAAAGACACATTCATGTAAACGTTCATTGAAACACTATTTATATTAACAAAGACATGGAATCGACCTAAATTCCCATCAGCAACAGGATGAATAAAGAAGGTAAGGTACATATACACCATGGAGTACTATGCAGCCATAAGAAAGAAAGAATGAGATCATGTCCTTTGCAGGAAGATGGATGGAGCTGGAGGCCATTATCCTTAGCAAACTAATGCAGAAACAGAAAACCAAAGACTGCGTGTTCTTACAAGTGGAAGCTAAATAATGGAAACTTACGAACACAGAGAAGAAAACAATAGGCACTGGGATCTATTTGAGGGTGGAGGTTAGGAGGAGGTTGAGAAGCAGAAAAAATAACTATTGGGTTCTGGGCTGAATTCCTGGGTTATGAAATAATCTGTACAACAAACCCCCATGACATGAGTTTACCTATGTAACAAAACCTTCACATGTATCCTGGAACCTAAAATAAACGTTTAAAAAGAAGAATTTGGGTTTAGGCGTTGCACACATCAGTTTAAATCCCTGCTGGGATCCTTCTGAGCTATGTGGCCAAGTTTTGCAACATTACTAAATCTGTTATTCCCCATCAATAAAGAAGAGAGTTTGTAATTGTTGTGAATTAACTGAGCCCTGGTAATATTATACCACCTTGGTATACCGGAAGCACTTAGTAGATGGCTGTACTGGTGAAAGAATGTAGTAGTGTAGAGATAGTAGCAAATTCTGGAGGACATAACGTAAGAACTTTTTGTTTTATCTGTTTCCTGGTGCTGTCATTACGAATCGGGTGACCTAAAACAATAGAAATTCATTCTCTCATGGTTTTGGAGATGAAAAGTTCAAAATCAACATGTCAGCAGGGCTGTGTTCCCTGCAAAGACTCCAGAGGAGTTTCCTTCCTTACCTCTTTCAGGTTCTGATGACGTCAGGCATTCCTGGGCTTGTGCCTGGGTCACTCCAGTCTTTGCCCCTGGTTTCACATGGCTGGCCCCTCTGCGTCTTTGTCTCTCTTCTATCTCTTATAAGCACATCTGTCATTGGATTTAGGGTCCATCTAGATGACCCACGATGATCTTATCTGAAGATTATTAACTTAATTACACCTGCAAAAACACTTTTCCCAAATACGTTACCATTCACAGGTCTCAGGGTTTTGCTGAGGACATATCTTTTGAGAGACGGGGCCCTCCATTCAACCCACTATCAATATGGAAGTGTTTTCTACCCATACATGAATCTATGACATGTAAACACTTAAAATATTATACCACTTTGAGGATTTGTCCAGCCTTAAAAAGAATGAAGTTGTGGGGAGCTCTAAATTAATTATGGATGATTAATGAAAATAGTTTCTAGTGTTTCTCAAAGTTAGAAGCACATAAGGATCGTCATGGAAACTTGTTATGCAGTGCAGGCTTCCAGCCTAACCTACAGGCTTTTTGATCTGGTAGGACCCTACTGGGACCCTAAAATTGTATATTTAAGAAGTGCTACAACAGATGATTCTGACACAAGCATTCGAAATTACTCAGAATCCAAATGCTTGACTTCTAGTCCAGCTTCTGCAAATGACCAATAGGACTGATGTTTAAACACTAGTATTTTGATATTCACGTTCTTGAAAAGTAATGATCCATAGACTTGTTAGAGGATCAAAATAGCCAGAATAACCATGGTTCTGATTTTTGAATTGGTGATTCTTGAATAGTAAGATGGGACTGCTTTATATTAAATTCCATTTACTAACTTAACCTGTCTTATAATTTTTAAAATGTTGATTTTAGGATTATGTTTCTATTTTAAGAGTTAAACTTTGTAGCTAAATGTTAGTAGTATATAATGTCACATCTTTTTGATGCAAGAAAGAGTTGCATTGGACTGAATATGAAATATTGTTTTTTGTATTAATTCTCTCTACATCTCTCATCATTATAAAACCATTGTCCAGTTTTCTAATACAGATTGACTCAGAGGCAAGATACCTTATAACAGCCACACGTTTCTTTTTTTTTTTTTTTTTTTTTTTTGCAGAGACAAGTAAACATTTATTTTTGTACCCTTCCTCCTATGTGTATTTCAAGTCTTTCTCACAAGGCCCCAGGAATCACCAGATTCAATTATGTCCCTGGGCTTGTCCACTGCTGCCGGAGTCTTAGGGAGCCATGTACACATGCTAGAGTTACTCGATTACCAACATTAAACCCTAGGATAAGAGACGCAGCAAAGCAGGACTCCTTCCTCCATGGAATGTGATTTCAGACGAGGCAGCAGTCAATGTAGAACACGCTGGAATTCTTCCTTGGAACTGGACTGTGTTAAGAGGTGCTTGCCATGAACATAAGCTACTGTTTTTTTCTTTTCTTTTTTCTTTTGAGACAGAGTTTCTCTTGTTGCCTAGGCTAAGAGTGCAATGGTGCAATCTTGGCTCACAGCAACTTCTGCCTCCCAGGTTCAAGCGATTCTCCTGCCTTAGCCTCCCAAGTAGCTGGGATTAGAAGCATGGGCCACCATGCCCGCTAATTTTTGTATTTTCAGTAGAGACAGGGTTTCGCCATGTTGGTCAGACTGGTCTCGAACTCCTGACCTTAGGTGATCCGCCCCCCTCAGCAGGAGGAAGTACTGGGATTACAGACATGAGCCACCGTGCCTGGCCAGCTACTGTCTTTTGACCCTTCCTTTCCAGTTTTTAAAGATAAAGCAGGCAATAATCTTCTCTGAAGATACTTGATACAAATTCTCCAAACCCAAAAACACATGCTTCCACTTCATTGATAAAAATTTATTGCAGTTTGGCACCTGGTTCTAGTTCAGCTGGCGGATGAGCTGATTGAAATGTTCACCCTGATAGCCAGGTGTGCCCATCTCCTTGAGGAAGCCCACTCTATTTTTGGTAGCATGACAGGCCACCGAGAGGTGGAAAGGGCGCAAGAACCATGAGATCTCCTGGAAATGCTTCCCCGGGAAGGCAATTTCATGAATGAGGTCTTCCAAGCAAATGACACCAAACTTCCTCAGTGCTGCTCAATCACAGTGTTGTCTGTCAGAGAGATGGTCTTATTCTTGACTCTGGCTTGTCCACTTTTCAAAATGAGTTCCCAGACAGACTTCAGATTTGGAAATCCCCAGGTCACATAAGGTTCCACAATATGCAGCATTTTTAGGTTCTGGGGAGTGACTTTTACAAAGACACCAATAAAAATTTTCTTTAGGCGAAGTCTTGCAATGGTTCTCTGCACCAGTAAACTCACACCATCAATCCTTTCGATGAGTACAACAAAGGCCAAAGAATGTTTATTTGGCAATTCCAAAGCGTGAGGCTTCACTTCCAGTCATCTGACACGCACCTTGTCACACGTCCTGCCGCCAGGAATCATGCAGGAATGATTCCAATCGCTTAAACCTGGGCCCTTTTCCTTTCCTCTGCTCCTTCTTTGCCAAAAGTGCCTGCTCTGCCTGAGTGGCTTTGAGGGCTTGATAAGCCTTCCTCTTTTTCAGGAGATTTTCTGGAACCAAAGGGATTTTTCTTTGCTCTTGCTCCGCCATCTTTCCAGTGTAGCCAACAGCCACACGTTTCTTAATGGACTAGTCTTGTATTTATTTATGCCAGTCATGGCTTTTCTGAACATGGAGTTATACCCAGAATTCACTTTGTCTCTGAAAATGTATTCAGAACCCACCTCTAAGGTACAGACTAAAGATCTACCATCCACATGCTCTTGTGAAACTAATGAACTAGTCATGGAAGCTTGATCAGAGTAAAAGATCATGAAATAGGTGTACAGAATTATTCTCAAAATGATGTCTCTCAGAAATTAGCACGTAGATTTCTCACCAATTATTTACCTATAAAAAGGATGCATGTAGGAAGTGTTTGCATACACGATGGAAGAGTTGCTCATATTTAGAAACTGTGTATTTTGTATTTAATAAATCATTCACAGTAAATCTCTGTTGCCTACACAGAGCCACTCTATACAGTATCTTTGGCATATGTATATGGACAACCCTTTCTGTCCGCATTGTTTCATAAGATGTAAAAATAAGTTAGACTTTTGGAAATGTATATTTAGTTGCTGGTAAAGTGTTGTAATTTTTAAATTAAACTCCTAATAAGCAACTAAAGGAAAACTTTAATATGATATGGCTAAATGGAGCAAAGATTTAGATCATCTCTCTAATAAAAAAAGAAATAGTTATTTACTTATTAGGCTATCTTACAAAGTCTACATGATCCTATTCTAAAATACCTAAAATAGAGTAAAACTGCATGTATGTAGAAGCTCTTATAAAGAATGAGTCTAACAGGTTGGGTTTTGTAAAAAATGAGCTTTTTTCTGAAGGTTACTGAATAATGTCCATTTAAAACATGCTAATACTTGTAGATCAAAAGGGATATACAGCAAATCGATTAAAATTAAAATTGTATCAACATCCTTTTTCAGAGTAAGAAATGAAAAGAAATGCCATGGAGCCACTATTCCTAGCCTAATGTGCCTTTGTGTCTTAGATTTTAGGGTCTTTTCTAATCAGTGCATTATATCTGTGTATTCTCTTTTTTACAGTTCAGCAGAAGAGCAGTTTCACTGGCAGTCACAAGGTAATGTCTATCTTATTGATGAAGAGTTATACATATCTCTACTGTTGAGTTTTCTTATGAACTTTGAAATGAGACTCAGAAAAGTAATAGGAAAATGTCCCGATAGTAAAATTAAATGATAGCTCACAATTTATTGGGAGTTAAATCTTTCAATTCTGTGGTAACGAGGCTCTTCAAGGGTACATGAAATTGTTGACCTTGGCTTTAATGCTGGTTGATCAAGAATTACAATGGGATAGCTAATGAAAACTTCATAGAAGTACTATGATATTTTTTATGATTAAATGATAATCTATTTAATAATAATATATCATGTGTTTGTTCATCACTTTAAAATATTTTATTTCAGATGGTCAAAAAGATATCGAAGATGAGCTTACAACAGGTCTCGAGCTGGTGGACTCCTGTATTAGGTCACTACAGGAATCAGGAATACTTGACCCACAGGATTATTCTGCAGGTGAAAGTAAGTCACATAGCGGTTATGCTTGATCACAGTTAAAATATAGGAGTATTATGTCATTATTTTTCTAATATTATTGCATTATAAGCAATATCAAATGAGGATTTCAGGATATTTTTATGCTTGTTTTATCCATTTCACTCATCCCATCTATTCCCTTCCTACATTATCCCACCTCAATTCACATTAGAGTATAAACTCTTTTAAGCCAGTAGTTTTTGTGCTGACACCTGACACACTGGTGATTCTCAGTTCTCTGATATCCTTTTCAATATCTATACTAGCATATTTTATGAACTCATCATATATTTTGTAGTCAACATGATGTCTGCCTTAAAGTTAACTATCAATACTTTACTCATATAAATCACTGTTGGTAGAAATCGTAAAAAGCAGCAATTATGTGACAAAATAGGAAAAAAATTGGTGTACTGTCAGTACTATTCAGTACTGTGCTAAGGTACTGGGCAATGAATCCTCACCTTTCTGTATTTAACTGTCTTGCATTGGCTATATTAATTCCATAGAATATTTAAAGTTTACTTCTGCTCCACTTAGTGACATATTTTTCAACCAGAATGGTTGAGGCTTATAAATAAAAGTGTTCGGAGTTTAAATGAACCTCCTTTAAATAAATCATAAAATTCTCTTCACTTATTTTAATAAAATTCCACAAAAGGCTAAAAATTTCATCATAAAAATAGGTATTATCCTGGTAATACATCGAAAACCAGTGAAGCATTTTATTCCTTAATTGAAAAAATAAAATTTCCTCCAATACCCTTTAAACTTTACCATGTAAAAGAAAGACAAAAGGATAAGATAGCATACTGATCTTGAAAACTATTTAATTTACAGATTAGCTCATTTCGTCTATAATCTTTGTAATACCATTACTCTTAGGATAACATTGTTGTGTATACAACAGATATATTTATACCCATATGCATCCTCTCAAATTACTAAAGAAAGATTGGTTTGGTATTATCCATCTTCTCTGCATTCTGTATTGAAAAATGTATAATCGTTACCTCTTTTCACTCATAGTCATTAAAAATGTTTCTCTTGTAGGGATAGCTGTAGTTAAAACTTATTTAATTAATATTTGAAACACATGCACTCATCTGGTTAGAGAGTAAGAAAAGCAGCAACAGAATAGTCTGTCTTGCAGGAGAAGAGGGAGACAGTAGTGGAGATCTCATTTTTTAAATATAATAATATATTTGATTATGAGTTTAGGAGAAGTAATCTTTAATAAATGGGAAGTACAGAAAATAAAGCAATGAGTTAAATAAAAAGTAAACAAATTAAAATAGAAGGGATAATTTAGGTATATCAATCTAATGCTGCATATAAGCATGCTAAATTCTCCGAAAAGAATAAAAGTTCAAACTTACAGTAAACAAAGATAAAGTAGTTATGAGTTATTCATAACATTTAATGAAATTAGCATTGAAATGAAAGGAATAGTCAATGTAGTGCCAGCAAATATAATCAATGCAAAGAGTGGGATTGGAAGAATAACATGAGATAAATTGGAATTTAATACAGAATCACTTAGCAGGGCCAGAGATGGGAGTTATATAGTGAGCAGTCTTATAAAGATGTGTTAAGCTCGTAGTAAAATCTAATGAGCATGTATGCACCAAAGAGCATACCATATGAATATTAAAACAAATGTTACTTAAAATAAAAGAAGTTGATGAAAAATAGTATTGTGAACATTTGAATGCATGTGAATCAGACAGAATGCCAGAAAGGAAAGCCACAGAATAACCAATTAACAAAACAATGTATTAAATAAATTTTAGAGGTTTTATTGATTGTATGATAATATATGTTTTTTACATATGTCCAAGGAAAATTTACAAAAATTGACCAGCCACTGGAAGATGAAGGCAATAATAAAAATTAAGAAGTATGGAGGGCCATTTCCTTGGATAAAAATCTGCCAACATTAAAAGTAAATAATAAAACTGTAAGCAAAATGTAGTAATATTAAAACTAAGAAACATAATTCTGGATATTTACTGAATCAAATGGAAATTATAAAGAAAATTGCATAATATTTACCAAGCAAATAAAACAGGAACATATTTTAGTGAAAACAGAGAAGTATGGGGGGGAAAAACCACGTTCAGAGGACATCTTAACTTCATTATTAAAAATACAAAACAAAATAAAGAATGTTGTACTTAATTTGGAGAAAATTTTAAAAGACCTAAGTAAATAGCAAGAAACTAGGAAGATGGACATGATAAAAGTAATACAGAGAAGTAAGACAAAGTGAAATAGTCAAAGGTAAATAAATGCTGGCAGAGATAAATAGAGGGGAGAAATCTATTATTTTTTTGGATAATATATATGTTTTTCTGTAAGTCAAATAATAATATTGAGCTTTCTTAGTTGAGAAACTCTGTTACACAAAAGGAAACAGGAAAGAAAATGTTTTAGTGTTCCTTTAGTTTGCCTGCAATATGTATTAAAAATTACCTACAAATAGTTTATAACAGGAAAGTTAAATGCTCCAATATGGTCTTTCCATATATATTTGGCAACTGCCAAATGTCTATTTTTTAAGAAAGATTAGTCACTTTCTATTGTCATGTACTGAATTATCTTATTGAAGACTCCAAGATTTTAGTTATTTCTTTTGAAAGTTCTGGCATCTTGCTTTGAAGAAAGGAAAAGACACAAAACAAAAAAGAAACAGGTGATAAAAGTGCCATTCAAAAGTTGTATGCCAAAGGATTCTGAACCACAGTCACATAAAGAATAGTATTATTCTTAAGAACTATTTGCCCTAAACATCTTCAGCGTCACCTTGAGACTGAAGTAACTGAGTAGAATTTGGGAAAATAATTTTAATATATTGGGTAGATAACAACTATCATTTTGGGGATCAATACTGCTAATTTTAAGTGTTCAGAAGATGATAAAATAAAAGTCTAAATTGCTATATGTGTATATATTAGTTAGGTTCCAGATGAGATGTGCATTCTATTTGAAAGAGTTTAACTGAACAGAATTTAAGTAAGGGACTATTTATGAAGAACGGGGCAGGATGAAGAAAACAAACAGTGCATATTGAGATATTCAGGCAGCAGAAGACAGAAGCCCTTACCACCCTTAGACCCTAAGGGAAACCAAGGAACTAATTCCAGCAGAGGCTGGAAGCAAGGAGGGAATCAGTGTCCTCATCTCTTTTTCCTCCTGCCCATGATCTCCTTCTTCTGCCTCTCATTAGCCAAACCTAACCAGAAGCCAAAATACAAGACATCCTAGTATGTGCAGAGGAGTAGCAAAGAATAAGTAAACTGGCTAGCCATGTGCAGAAAGCAGAAACTGGACCCCTTCCTGACACCGTACACTAAAATTAACTCCATATGGACTAAAGACTTAAACATAAGACCTAACACCATAAAAACCCTAGAAGAAAACCTAGGCAAAACCATTCAGGACATAGGCATAGGCAAGGACTTCATGACTAAAACACCAAAAGCATTGGCAACAAAAGCCAAAATAGACAAATGGGATCTAATTAAACTCCAGAGCTTCTGTACAGCAAAAGAAACAATCATTAGAGTGAATTGGCAACCAACAGAATGGGAAAAAAATTTTTGCAATCTACCCATCTGACAAAGGGCTAATAGCAAGAATCTGCAAAGAACTAAAACAGATTTACAAGAAAAAAACAAACCCATTCAAAAGTGGGCAAAGGATATGAACAGACACTTTTCAAAAGAAGGGATATATGAGGCCAAAAAAAACATATGAAAAAATGCTCATCATCATTCGTCATTAGAGAAATGCAAATCAAAACCACATTGAGATACCATCTTATACCAGTTAGAAGGGAGAGCATTAAAAAATCTGGAGATAATAGATGCTGGAGAGGATGTGGAGAAACAGGAACATGTTTACACTGTTGGTGGGAGTGCAAATTAATTCAACCATTTTAGAAGACAGTATGACGATTCCTCAAGGACCTGGAGATAGAAATTCCATTGGACCCAGCAATCCCGTTACTGGGTACATATCCAAAGGATTATAAATTGTTTTATTATAAAGACACATGCACACATATGTTCATTGCGGCACTGTTTACAATAGCAAAGAACTGGAACCAACCCAAATGCCCATCGATGATAGACTGGACAGGGAAAATGTGGCACATATACACCATGGAATACTGTGCAGCCATAAAAAATGATCAGTTTTTGTCTTTTGTAGGGACCTAGATGAACCTGGAAGTGGTCATTCTCAGCAAACTGACACAAGAACAGAAAATCAAACACCGCATGTTCTCACTCATAGGCGGGTGTTGAACAATGAGAACACATGGACACAGGGAGAGGGGCATCACACACAGGGGTCTTTTGGGGGCAACTAGGGGAGGGAAAGTGGGGGGGTAGGAAGTTGGGGAGGGAAAACATGGGGAGAAATGCCAGATATAGGTGATGGGGATGGAGGCAGCAAATCACAATGCCATGTATGTACCTATGCAACACTCCTGCATGTTCTTCACATGTACCCCAGAACCTAAAGTGCAATTAAATGTATTTTTTAAAATAATAAAATTAAACAAAGAATAAAAAAAACTGTACAGCAATTTCAGCACAGCATTCTCCTCAATAGAATAACAGTGTACGATACGTATCTCTCCAATGTAGAAACATAGCAAATAGATACAGAGTACGGAGTGGCATGTTGACAGATTTCATCTAATTAGGAAAAGCCCATCAGATTCTGCCAGTTAGTGATTATTCAATCAATGGATTCATCAGCTATGAACCAGCTAATGCTAAATTGGACCTGGCACCCTGCCCTTGAGAACCAGTCTCTTAATCCTCACTCAAAAGAGACTAAAACAAGGCTAAATACTGTCTAAACTCAGTAAGGAAAAGTTCTAAAATGGAAAGCAGTCTCACCCCATACGGGCATAGTTCTTAATTTGTTGTATTTAAAGCTTTTTGCTATTTTTCAAAGGTCTGATTAAAATA